AAAAAAAAAAAAAAAAAAGAAAAAGAAAAAGAAAAATCATTAGTCTGTTGGCAGTAATAAAGCTGTATATACAGTGACCAAACAGACTCTTTATCCCTAACTTCATTTAAGTTGTTTTTTCTCAGAGGCCCACGCTGTTGCATGTAGGGAAGCACTCTTTGCCCTAGAGAACAAGGGTCCCTGTTTAATCTGCCTCTGAGAACAAACTTCTCTGTTCTGCTAAGGACTTTCTGCCCTGATCAGAAGGGAAGCCAGTCTTTCCTTTCATCTCTACAGCTCATTTTCTAACTCTTGCTTGCCATTTAGGTTTCTGCCCATCTGCTTACACTTCTTACTACTGCAGGAATGATTTCTGGCTTTCCATTAGAAACTTGTCAGAGCACCCAACTCCAGCTACATCTCTCCTACATAGAACAAACATTAGAGTTTAATATCATGGCTAAATCAATGTAACAGCCTGAAGTAAAACTTTAAAAGGAGCAAAAATTCCCAGACAACAACACAGCAATGTGTGCGTGTATGTGCGTGTGCGTGTGCACACGACAGGGCGGTGCGAAACAAGCCCTTTTTTTTTTTTTTTTTTTTTTTAAAGTTCAATATATTCCCAAACAGGCCAATTTCACAGGATCAGTTTGACTTTCCTGTTGCTTAAAATCCAAGCCACTCTGCAATGGAAACAAGTCTCTTTTAACTAGGAAAAGAGTTCCAAAGCTATTAAAAAAAATAATCAGTTTTCCTCCAAAAACTGAAGTCCACAATTTTAAATTGTTACATTTTAATGGGAGGAAAACCCCTCACATTTTGCCTCTTAATGTAAAGATTTTGCAAATCATGCTCCTGTAAAGAATGGATTGGGTTTGTTTTGTAGTGGTCACTAACAATTAGTCTGTTTTTTTGGAATTCCACAGTTAATCCCCATCTTTGAGCCACTAGGGCACGTACAGGGCTTTATTCACATGTAGTCCTGTGAACGTCAAAAAGTAACTACTCAAGAGAGTGAAGTGTCACAGGTGGCTTGTAGTTATTTGCAGAACTGCAAGTTCCAGCCTTTGGGCAGCAATTTACAATACACAAACATGCAGAAATACATTGGGGGGGGGGACAAACAAAAAAACCCCCACAAGACTGCTGCTTCCTTTGGTATTCACTCTGTTTTAAAAACAACACCCAGGCATTTCATGTTTAGTCATGGTAATACTGTCGGGAACAAGCATAAGGGCTCTGTAGCATGGGAACAACATTTGAATCAAAAACTTTTAAAACAGCAGTTATCATGGGGTGGGGCGTGATCAAACCACTTAAAATGTGTGTGCAGTATTTAAGACTACTGAAAAAGACTAGAAGTTAGGCTGTCATTATGTGTTGTTGCCACTAATGTTAAAACTTGCAATGCTTTTACAAAAACCATGACATTTGTATCAAAGTAACCAAGTTTAAAAGTTGAATAGATGACAAGGTTCTCACTTAAATCAAGTCCAACAGCAAGAAAAAGAATGCTACACACAAACACATTATACAGAAGAAGTCCAGGTGAACTAAGAGGATATTGCTTAATAGTGAAAATAAAAAGTGCTTTCAGTTAAAAAACAAAATAATAATTTTATAGACTAGCGTCTCAGTGCTTTTGTTTGTTAGTGACTAGGAAATATTCTCTACAAGTTTTTACATTTATTTTACAGCTATTTTCATTGAGTTTACCTATGGCGGATGCTAAAATTTGTTTCATTATGTACCTTAACCGAGTTAATCAAATGTTGGTCTTCTAAAAGGAGATTGTATTGCCTTATATACATAAAAGAGCATTAAAGGACCCAGTTTACAAGGAACGTCATGTCTCCCACGTCACTTGAATTGCTATTTGATTGTCGTACAGACATTTGTGCTGGAAGAAAGCAGATAGAATGTGCATCATGCATGTGTGACAATGGTAAGAAGTCCAGAATATATTTATAGAAATGGCAAAAGCAGACAACTTGATGATAAAGCATCAACATTTAATACCAATCATATATAGAGACCAGACATAGCATGTCAGCTACTTTAGGGTTACACAAAAAAATAGCTCACCCAGCAGTAGGACAACAATTGAAGGCACATCCTTAGATACCCCTTTCCAGGGAGCTAGCAACTTGGTGATTAGGCATGGGGTTCAAAGAGGCATTTGAGTGGCAAGAGAGCCATAAAAACTTTGCATGGTTTTGGTCTACTGGTATCACTGCGATTAGCACGGCAGAAGGAGGAAAATAGTTTCTTTCACGTCCTGCATCTCCAAAGTGCTCTACAAATATCAATGCAGTCAATCCCTTCTGAGGAAGTAAGAATTAGCATTAACACCATTTACAAATGGCAAAATCAACGAGAAGTGAGGCCCTTGTGTTCAGAGGCACTCCTCAGTGAGAGCAGACATTGTGGAGGTATGAATTAGAGAGGAGATGGGTGCCCACAGCTCCCGCTGCCCTCCACTGCCACGTGAAGTACTCAACACGTGCCACGCCCCGCCCCCCAAGCAGCCACTTTTAAAGCAGGACCCCAATTGACTTGCCTGCACCTACCAAGGCAGTCAGCTGGGAGCCAAAACTTAGGAACAAGAGACTCAAGTCTCTGCTCATTGCACCTCTCATGAGTCCCCTTTACTAGGTGTCATCTGGCTTGCACCTTTGGCTTCATCTCACTCAAGCCACACACATTTCTCCCCATTCCCAAAGCTGTGTTTATTATATTTTTAAAATTGAATTAAAAAATAAGAAAACAAGAGGAAGCCTCCATGGGATAGTTTTGTATTGTGCTTTAAACAGCATTTAAGAAATGTTTTTGTTTGTTTGTTTTTAATAAGACCAGTGAAGACAAGACGAGGGATAGGCAAGAAGGGCTGTCGCCTCCAACCTGTGTAGCACCTGGTCCTCTATAGTAACTACTCTCCATTCAAGTCTTGAGATGGGTTTCCATACTGGATGCGTTCTCCACCCCCCAGTGATCTACAAGCAGCTCATGGACAATGTTCCTTGTGGCAGTTCCCCGTGCTGTGGCAGAACCATCCGCCAACATATTTAAATCGCTATCGAAGCATCAAGATGCACCTGCATGACACCGTGGTCCGAGTAAGCAGACAGCGCAGCAGCCTCCCGGACCAGCTTATCGAGGACCGCCTTGGGGCACGTAGGAGATGGGCTGCCTCGTCCCAGGCCTAACGGTGAACGTGTTTGTAGCCCCGCTGTACTGCAAGTGGCTATAGGCAGGTCTGGGAGAACAAAAACAGAGGAAGTCACTGAACGCCAAGGAAATCGTTTGTCAGTGGTTACGGTAAGCCCCTCCTGCTGCGAAGCAGTTTAATTTGCAAGCCCCTATGAGCAGAGTAGCTGGAGAGGCTGCATTCAGATCCAGAGGATGGTTTAGATCAGAGGGAAAAAACAAAACTGAAAGTCAGGTCCAGGACTGAAAGGGAAGGACTAGGACCTGGGCTTGGACCCTTGCACCTCAGTTTTGCAAGGCATCCTTAGAAGACACCAGCTGCAGGTGAGCCAGACAACTAGGGGCATAAGCCTGCACTCTTTGGAGCCCAGCCCAGAACTAGACCCACCGGGGTTCAGTCAGCCCAGCAGCTCCCCAGCCCACTCCTCCCAACTTCAGTTTCAGAGGGATTTTGGCTAGACACTCCAGGCCAGCCCTGCTAGAATCGTACCTGCTGGGGGCTGCCGCACTGATGGAGGAGTAGTCCCCGTTCAGCCCCTTGGGCTTGGCATCGCTCACAGCATTGCTACGAGGCATGGCTTTCCCGGCCACATCCAGCGACATCCTCCTGCTGTGCAGGTTCCCTGTGGGATTTCTGGGGCCAGAGTTCATCCGGCGCATCCCCTCCCCAGCCTGGGAGCCATAACAGGCAAGAGAGACGATGCCCCTGGAGGACAGGCTTGTTCTCCTGTAGGTCTTATCGGGTTCGGACACATACAGGCGCTGCTTGATCAGCGGGCGGCTGTTGGGGTACTGACTGGGGTTCCTAGCCGTGCCGTCGCCACTGGGGCACGGATGGTCAAGGCTGCGATTCCTCGGGTTGCTTTCAGTGGCTGTATTGGAGGGCAAGGCATAGCTGTTGCCCAAGTCATAGCTTGGCTGACTGTAGCTTTGCGGCCTTCCCAAGATCTGGCTGTTGTCTGCCAAGCTAGGGGATCTGTGGCTTTCTTCTCTGCTAGGGGAGACATCCTTAATATGGTCAGCATCATTGCTGAACTCTGGTGGAGGTGGAATGATCTCATAATCAAGGGTCTTTCCAGTCTCCTCTTCCTCCTTGGGCAATGGTGGGGAAGGAAATGCATTCAGGTGAATGGCAGTGGTGGTGTGCAGGTCTTGCTGCCTTAGGTGGCTGGACTGCAGAAGACCATGAACTGTAGAGGAGGCCCCCAATCCCTGTGAAGTGGGAAGCTTATGTGGTTGCCCATTGATGAGTTTCTGCATGGTCCTGCACTGCTCAGAAGAGCTGGAGAAGGACAGGGGCCTGGCAGGGCTCTGCCCCGGTTCCAGCAAACCCAATGCACTGACCTCAGGGATGCTGGTCCTTTTATGCTGCTTGTCCCCCAGCAAATCTGCGGCCTCTTTTTGCAGGGACTTTGGTACCACTGTAATGGAGTAGGGCTTGGACTCGCTGTAGTAGAAGTTGGTGGAGCCCGTTTCCGACACGCTGCTGTCGAGCTTCTTGGATAACTTAATGTGCGGCCTCTTGGACATGGCACTGTTCTGCCGGGATGCGGGGCACCTGCTTCTTTGGGCTCGCTGTTTTGCGGCCAGAAGGAGAGCCATTGGGGAGCCCTTCTCCACCGTCTCTCCTGTGACAGGGTGGATCAGGACATCCCCATCCCCCAAGCCAGCACCCAAGGAGGATGGCATTGAAGGAGCAGGCAGGCTCTCAGAAGCAGAGGTTGGACTCGCCTTTTTCTTTCTATCGTGTTCATCTGTGCCAACCAGCCCCTCTTCCCCCTGAGAAGGGCTCACAGAGGACAGGTTGTCAGTGGAGCTGGTCTTGGCCCGATGGGTTTTGTACTGGAATAGGGAGTAGTCTGGCTGGGGCACCGCAGTTGGCAAAGGCGAGGCAGCCTCTGTAGAGGAGGGCAGTGGGAAGACTGGGACAGAAAGGTCACCCTTTGGTTTCAAAGGTGGTTTTGGAGACTTCAGAACATCATTAGCCAACACATTTTCTGGAACATGGTTTATGTTTTCCAAAGCCTTTTTACTGGAGAGGTCGCTAGGAGTCTTACAACCATCCGGCACCATCTCAACTTCCACAGAAGCTGCTAAAGGTGGGAGACTATTTACTACAGGCTTCATCAGCCCCATGTCAGAGCTTGCCTGGCTACTACCAGGATGCAGAGTAGCTCCGTTTGCTCCTGGACTAGGTCTGCGATTTGCTGCTCCCATGGGCAGTTTCAAGTCCTTTTTCGTTGCCAGTATAGCTTCCAGCTCACTCCGGATTTTCATAACACTGTTTGCCTGTTCGCTGGTGAGTTGATTCTCAGGAGCCACATTGGAGGTGCTCTCTCTGCTGGGGACTGCATTGGCTGTTATCTTCTCACTTCTTCCCCCTAACGGTAACTGCAGATCCTTCGTGGCAGAGTCAGCCTGCTTTGACCAGTCAGACCTAATCCTGTCTTGCTCAGTAATACTGCTTGTTGATCTGGGAGTTGCAGGTGTGTCCAGCTGCTGCGCTTCTCTTCTGGAAGAAGAGGTCAGCAGGGCTGATAGGTCCTGCTTCAGCTTGTTCAGATTGCTGGGCTCCTTCCAGGAGTCCTCTTCACCATCAGAGGATGCGTAGTCTGGAGGGGGGAGCTCCAGTAGCTCCCCTGCACCCACAGACTTGGATTTTGGGGAGTCCTTTTCGGTTTTCTCGGGCACTTGTGACCATGGGACCTTCTCTGCCTTGGGTGCTGCCTGCCGGTCAGTAGACTTCATCCAGATGCCAGAGTCTGACCCTGGCCTTGGACTCCCAGGTTCAGCACTGAGTGTGGCAGGCTTTATGATCCCCTGCCTCTCCAAAGACCACCTGTGCTCCGCTCCTTCAGGCAAGGGCACCTTTGCTGCAGGTCTTATGGTGAAGCTGGGTGGAAGCGGCGGGCGGGTGTGGGGCTGCTTGGGAAAGGGCTTCTCTTCTCTTTCTTCCACGGGAATGGAAGACGACCTCACGGGAGCAGGCGGCGGAACCTTAAATGACCTGGGGAAAGTTAAGTGAGGATCCGGCGCCGATTTGGGCAGCGGCACTTCCCTCTGCGGAGGGGCTGGCGGAGTGGCAATGTTCAGATAGGAGGGGCCAGCACTCCCCCCGGCCCCTGGCTGCCTTGTGTTCAGAGCTACTTCAGATCTCCATTTTGAGATGCCAGCCAGGAAGAGCGGAGGTGCTGGGGGATTATGAAGAGGTGGAAGGGGGGCAGGGGCTAGGGGTGCCAGTCCTGCAAAGGGAGGCGCTGGAGGAATGAAATCTGGCGGAGCTGGTGTGCCGGGGGACGACAAGGTGGAAGCAGGAGGAAGAGGTGGAGGCAGTGGTGCTGCCATGGGAGGTGGCGGTGGCACATCTGCTAGTGGCGGTGGTAGCAGTGGCGGCGGCGGCACGTCTGCTAGCGGTGGCGGTAGCAGCGGCGGCGGTGGCGGCACCACCTCTGCTAGCGGTGGCGGTAGCGGCGGCGGCAGCGATAGCACCTCTGCTAGCGGCGGCGGCGGCGGCGGTAGCGGCGGCGGCCCTGGGGGGGGGGGGGGTATCTCCTCATCCAAACACTCCCTCTCAAAGGCCTTCAGCCGCAGGTCTCCAACCGAACTGTACATCCTGTAGTTGCCATTGATCTGTGGACCGAGGCCTGTGGGAAAGAACGGAAAGTAGGGGGGCATTAACAGGAGCTGGGTCAGCTAGGCCCATGCTGGGATCACCTCCAGCAACTAATCCCATCAAAATGGGCCAGGACTTGGACATCCAGTGGAAGCATTTGAAAAACAACCTGGCTATGTAGGTTTGCTGTGCTGCTGCAAATCATTGTCGCTTGCTCCTTACATGAATGTGTGTTCAACACCTCAAAGGCAGTTTCCAGAAGATGGACCCAGCCCCATCAGTTACTCTCATGGGGCCAAACACTAATGCAGCAAGCCTACCTTGCATCAAAACACTCCATGGCACACAGAGTACCCAGACCTTTAGGGCCAAATCTTGGAGGCAGGGGGGAGAAATTTTAGCTTCTGTCAACTTCACTGGGAGTTGAAGGTGCCTCGTACCACCCAAGACAGAGCTCTCGGCTGGCAGGAATAATGTTTGCTAGCCTTTCATACTAGGTCACACAAGTCACCCGAACAGCCCAGTGCTTGATTATGCCACAATAAAAGTTGCGGTCCACCACAAAGAAAAAAAAAAACGGCTTGAAACTTCCCTTAAAAAAAAAAAGAAGGGGGAAGCTGGTAGACTAGGGCTGGTGCTTGGTTTCTTTTATGCTGCAAGAGGCCATGTGTGCTCCAAGTAAGGAAGTTATTATAAGTTTCAACTTCAGCAGCTCTTTCCCTTCAGTGTTCACAGGGTCAATGTGTCGCAACACCGAGACAAAGCACATTGGGCACGTTTCAGGTGCTGCCCCTTAAAGCAGTTCGTTAGCAGCAATTTGCAAGTGGAACACACTCATTTCCATTTTGTTTGCAGTCTAGTGAAGAATGCCATTGAGCTATAAAAAACAAAATAAAACAGAAACAGGCAGATGGGCAGAAAGACAGCTATCCCACTCCATGGAAGCACCTGATAAAATTTATCTATCATCTAATTTATGCAATTTTGTTGTGGGGGGAGGAGGGAGGGGGAAGGGGTCCGTGAGCCGAGTCAGCAGGCACTCCAGATTTATGTTGTATTGTTCCCTGCCTTTGTATGCATCTTTTTGATTTACTGTTTTTATGCAAATTTATTAAAATTAAATAATTTTGGTTAACAAATAAGATAGACTTAATTCTAGTTGCAGCAAAACTTTTAAATACCCGTCAGAAAAATCTATTCAGTCTCTTTGTTTCCTAGCATTACAGTTACTATCTGCAGTCTGGGCAAAAGTTCCTCTGCTTACAGTAAACGAGGGGGATGTATTAGTAATCAGATTTCCTTGTCTGCCAAATAACTATGCATGTAAAAAAAAAAAGCCTATGCCTGATAGTTGCTATGGTTATATCAGAGCAGAAACTAAAGCAACTTTTCTGGCAGGTGTTCGCTTTCTTCGAGAAGAGCTTCCCCTACCCACGTTCCTAGCCTTTCCCCAGCGACACGTCATTTCTCTGACGCAAGTCAAACTGAGACTTGCTTAGGCTGCGTGGGAATGTGGGAGGTCAGATCCTTCAGTTCTTACTTGTACCTTTTTGGCAATCAAAATTGGTTGCGTGACCAAGGCACAGTCACGGTGACATGGGAGAGTCTGCATGTTGGAGCCATTTAAATTCTAGGAAGAACCTAGTAGAGAAGGCACCTTACCTGGAGCTGCTTTGTCTTCGAAACCCTCTGGCACAGAGGGGGGTGGCACCGCTACGCCATGCACCTCCTGCGCCTCCTGCAAGGGTCGAGAAAGTGGGTTGCGAGAAGGCTTTCTAGTTGAACCTTAGGGGGTCAGCGTGCTGTGCCGAGGCCTGCATGCTCTTGCCTTTCACTCTGTGTGAAGCTAGTCTGCCGGGATGCCCTGCGGCTTTCATGGCACAGAAAGCAAGGTCATGCAAGCAACCCGGTACCCGACACCCTCTGGCCCCGTCAGCAATCCCAACCCATCAATTAAGACTGAATGAGCCAGAAAGACCAAATCTCCCTTTGATCTTCCCAGTGAATAATGCTGGAAGAGTACACAGGCACTAGAGGGCTGCACTTGCAGGAACTAGCTCTTGGAGTCGCGCGATAACATCAGAGCCTCAGCGTTCATTTACAACCTCCTGGTTACCAAGAAAAAGGCCCCCCAGTGTACCAAGGCAATATGTATCCCAGGCCAAACAGCTCCTCAGTTCCAGAGAAGAGCAGCTACTGCCCTGGGCTTACTGCTACGTGTGTCCCCTCTGGCAGGTGAGCCTAGTGCACCAATTGCCCGACTTGAGCTCTGCAAGGCGAGCAGAGGGACTTCGGGTCACCTGCTTACACAGCCGTTTTGTGGCTAGGAAGATCCACTCAGAGCCATGGTGAAGTAAGTCTCAGAAACACTCTGGCCTTCAGATGCCTCCCAAGAAGTTAAGCACTATTGACTCTCCACCTCCCAACCACCGGTTCCCGTTGCCCTCCCCACTGTTCTCCAAATACCCATTCTCCAACTTTAAAGCAGCCTTGCCCCCTAGGGAAACCCAGCCCATCTCCACTTTTGTCAGCCACAGCAAAGGCAGTTTCAGGTCCTTTGGGCTGTGAGCCACGTGCTCAGCTGTAGCTATTGCCACTTCCCCCAGGAGGGGTCCCATTCCTGGCACTTTGAACCAGACTGAAACACTGAACCAGGACCCCTGGCTCCTAGCACTACTGAACAAGCAGCCCCGCCTGCCCCTCAGGCGACCTGCTGCAAAGATTGCTGTCTTTCCATTGCTTGCTAAACACGCACCAGTGCATCGCAGGGGTCAAGTCCTGCCTGGACTGGAATTGCGGCTTCCTCTTTCCTAGAGGATGTTTTGCGCTGCAGTTGGAGCTATGGCCGTCCCCACCAGAGACTTCTGGATGGGCCAAGTCAGCCCGAAACAGTCACCCTGGCCGTGAAAGGACTTTTGTGCACTGCAGCAAGGGCCTGTGTGAGGTGCTGGCCAAGGATAAGGTGGGTCCTACTACCCCACCAGTCCCGCGCCACTCCTCCAACAGGGTCTGGTTTTCCCTACCGTGTATAGTCAATGCTCAGGAACATACAGCAGAGCCACTGAGGAGTTGCAGAGGCCACCTGTATAAGTTTTGTCTGCATGTTACAGAGGACTTCTTCCATCCAGCCCTTGGCTTCACCATTTACTAGTCCCTTCTACAAGGACAGCCTTGTCCTAGGAGTGCTCTACACCACTTCAGTCAGGCAGCTCTCTCACACAAATGCAGAATGGTTTGAAACAAGCACCCTTTGTCCTTCTTTCGGTGCGATCGCTGTTTTTACAAGAGCGTACGAGAGGAATTCAAAGTCCCATGGATCAAAGGTTCAGCTCGTCTTGTAAACACACCACCATCTTGGGCTAAGACACGAGGAGCTGATCCTGCTCCACCCTTCCACGAGCCGAAGCATGGCTCTGTGCCTCCCTGGGACTGGCTCCTTGCTGCTTCCTTGCAATTTGGTTTCGAGGTCAAGGGGACAGCTAATTAAAAAACCAAGTTAGTTCTTGGATTTAAGGAACTCCAGCAGGATGGGCTAGATTCTGGCCTAGATCAGTTGTTCCCAACCTTTTCAGACCAGAAGCATCCTTCTGAAAATGTCAGCTCTTAGTTTTCACTTGTTTTTTTGACAAAAGAAAGATAGAGCAATTCTTCCATGGCAGAGAACTCAGCAAGTCCACAAGTCAGTGTGTCTTTGAAACTGTGGACTCTTGTGGGACTTCCCTGGTCATGGACTCATGTTGGCACACCTCTCAGGGATACCACGTTGCACCCCACCGCACCCTTGAAAGCATCTCAAGGCACCCTGGTTTGGAATCACAGCCCTAGATCTACAGAAGCACTGACTGTAGGAAGATACTTGTTGGATCAGATGAGTACTCTAGCCAACTTAGCCTCTTCCTGCACCCAGCGCCAGCCACGTCAGAGGAAGGTGAAGGAACACAGTGGCTGGCAGTTATTCTGTCCATAGGGAAAGCTTCCTTCTCGCTTCAAATAGCAAAGCGTTTGGCCTGTGCCCTGCAGCAGGATGGTTTCCACGTACTGCCGTACGCTGCCGAGAACCGAGCTGCTGGTCTGGGTTGCAGCTCTGCACCGCCTGACATTTATACAGCAAATGTGCACTGCTAAAAATAGCCTCCCCTGGGCTGGAGACGGGCTGCGGCGATGGCTGACTGCATTTGGAAATGTGACCCCTGACCACACGGTTTCACGCCCCAGAGGCTCAGCACTCTCAGCCCCAGCTGCCAAGGCCCTTGCTGACATGCAAGTGAGAGGTGCTGGGACAGGGATGGGGCTTTAGCAGTAACTGCCAGAGCCCAGGTTCACCAGGGCCAGACGTGCTTATCTTTCCATTGATGCTGCCAGTGCCAGGAAAGTTGCAGGGGGAATAAGGGGAGAGTTTCCACCAAGGGATTATAATATTGCCCACACCAACGCAAAGGAGGAGGAAGGAGCAAGTGAGGGTAAAGCATCCTCCCTGCACTCCCTTCAGCCAGTGTTTGGAGCCATGTGACCCAGCTCCAGAAGGAGCAGCGAGCAGATGCAGAGAAAAAGAGGCATCTACAAGAGCTTTTGAGAAGGGACTACAAATGACTGCAACTAGTAGCAATTCCCCTGCCCTCACCTTTACCCGGAGTCATTGTTTCCCCCTCCAGCTTCTTGGCAAAATGAAAAATCAGCTATTCCCACACCTGTAACTAGTCTACCACCATGTGCCATATGGAGTCACAAGCCTGATGGTCCCTGCATAACCCATGCACTGGGTAAGCCAGAGAGCATTCACCCCAACCAGATGTACAGCACTGCACAACTGACCCTGTGCATTACTGGGGGCAAACAAGACAAACAGGTTGGTTTCTAAGGCACCCGTAAGGCAATGGTTTTGAACAACACTCCATTAGATCTTGAAAGCGATTGTAAAAGCACATGTAATCCAGTGGATTCTGATTTCATGTAGAATGATCTAGGTCACGCACCAGCATCAAACCCACTGGGTCTCCGTCAAAGTTGTTTAGCTGCTGTAAGCGTGCAGCAGGCACCCACACCTAGCAATATAGCTCAGGCAATGAGATGCATAGCCAAACAAGGAAGCCCATAGCTGCTGTTGAGCTGGAATTGAGGTGCAGAACGGTTACAGCAGGACAGGGCAGTCTCAGATGCTCTTCATTTCTCTATTGAGGATTTGTAGCCAAAGGAGAAATGTCATGAAAATAATTGGCGAGTTCAGGTGGTGTTCTCCAGCACACAGTTTTCCTATGGATTTCAAATAAACGGCAGGCTGTGAACAGTGTCTTGGGAATGCTCTGAAAACCACAGACAAGGTTCTTTGGGTAAATGCGATATCTTTTATTAGACCAACTAATAGAATTGCAAGTATTTAATCTGCTATAGGAAAGACAAGTAAAGGTACGACAATGGGCAAGAGAACAAATGCACTGGAAGAGGAGTGTTTACCAACTTTCAGAAACTTTTCGCACTGCTAAAGTGTTCCACTTCACATCCTCAAGAATCCTACAGTGTAAAGCTATTTAAACAGCTCTTGAAAAAAAGAAAAATATTGGTGCTGTGCCTAGTGCATATCAGTGGAGGAGACTGCACTTACCCAAGTCCTTTGGGAAAAGGAAAAAGTCACACAGGACTGGCTGAAAGGAGTACTGAAAGCTTGCCTTGGGTTTGGCCTTGTTGCAACACATGCTAGTTGTGTTCTTAATATTGTAGCTGTGCTGTGTTATTTTTGGGGAGAAACTGCATGACGGCTATGGGAGGGGACTTTGACTTGTCTTAAAGTTCAGTTTCAAACCACACAGTCTAGTGGAGGAGACTTAAGGTCCAATGGCAGAAAGGGGTCAGAAACAGCCTGTCTACTTTTACTAGCAAGTGCCATGGGATAACATGGATGGGAACAGTCTCAAAGCCTCCTTCCAGAACGCACTGCAAAGTTCTGCACCAGTAACATTTGCCCAATTTAGTTGGTGACACAAGAGGGAGACTTGTAAAATGGTAATGAACTGGTTATTGCAGTAGAACAGGCCTTTGCTCCCCACCCTGCTTTCCAGATACCATTTCATCAGTTCTTCCATGCAAAAAGGGAAGAGGCCTGCAATACCACCTCCACCAGTCAAAACAGAAGGGCTGGTTGGGAGGTGTCTTTTCATGCAGACACCAGGAGGACCATGGGGAATGCAGGGGG